TATCCCAAGTGAGCCACGGGCCAGCCCAACTTCTTGTAATCTTTGTTGCAAGTTCCCACACACTAAAGTCTACCTGTTTAATTGCCGTAATGACTATAGGCTAATTATTAAACTGAGCAAAATGGATATTTCTGATCCTCTAAAAATTAAATGTATGCTTGTTGGTTCCATTAGCATGGCTGTTATTAGTTTTTAAAAAATTTTTTAAATAAAAAACAGAAAAAAAGTGTTGGCAAGGATGTGGAGAAATTGGAACCCTTGTGTCCTGCTGGTGGGAACGTAAAATGGTGCAGCTGCTGTGCAGACAGAGTAGCTGTTCCTCAAAATATTAAACATGGAACTACCGTACATTCAGCATCTGGGTATATACAGAAATAAATTGAAAGCAGGGGCTTGAAGAGATATTTGCACACCCATGTTCGCAGCAGCATCACTTTCAATAGACAAAATGTGGAAGCAACCCACGTGTCCACTGATGGATAAATGGATAGACAAATGTGGTCTATCCACACAATCAATATTATTCAGCTTTAAACAGGAAAAAATTCTGATACACACTACATCATGGATGAACCTTGAGGATATTACGCTAAGTAAAATAAGCTAATCACAAAAGGGCAGATATTGTATGATTCAATTTACCTGAGTACTAGAGTAGCCAAATTCACAGAGACAGAAAACTCATAGAGAACAGTTGGTTTTTAACAGGTGCAGAGTTTCGGAAGATGGAAAAGTTCTGAGACAGATGGTGGTGATGGTTGCACAACCATGTGAATGCACTAATGCCACTAGACTGTACACTGAAAAATGGAAAATTGTATGTTATGGGTTATCCACACATGCAGTGAGGAAGAGGAATTGCTCAGGAGCAGCAATGAGGCAAGGGGAGACCTGGAGGAGGGCCCGGTTCCCTCCTGGAAGTGAGGACATCAGAGGAGAAGGGAGAGAGAGGTGGGAGGTGGGCTCAGCTGAGGGACAGAGCAAGTCGAGAACGGGCCACAGAAGAGGGTGGCCTCAGAAGGAAGTCAGCCAGTGGAGGGGGGACCCCAGTGGCACTTGGGGTTCAGATCCAATGATGGGGTGGATGGTGCTGCTCTCCTGAAGATGAAAAATACTGAGGAGGACCCAGCTTTCGGGGGAGACAAAGTCCGTTTTAGGCCACGGTGAGCACAAGAGCCCCAGAGGACACTCAGAGGGGACATCAGGAGGGACAGGATGCTGAGGTCTGGGCTGGAGTCAGAGAGAGAGGCCAAGTGGGCAGAGCTGGACTTGAAGCTGAGAGGAGATGAGCAGCTGGAGGGGAGGACTCGGTGGCCACAGAGCAGCAGTTGTACCTGGTTTGGCTGTGACGCAAAGGGGAGGGGGAGGGGAGGGCACTGTGGTGTCCAAAACACACACACAAGATTTTTCCAGAATAAAGGAGGCCATGAGAATGTTTACAGACTGAAAGCAAGAGGCCAGAGAGGGGGCTCCACGTGCAGGGAGCTGGGACCTAGCAAGGAACTGAAGGGGCAGGAGTGGGGAATGCCTCAGTTTCCCCACAGGGAAAACAGTGCAGTAGAGCAGGTGGGCCCGCCTGGGCAGCCCCTGCAAGAAGGAGCACCCTGCCCCAGCACCCAGCCACGCGAAGGCCCCGTACGGCCCCCAGAGCAACGGAGAGAGGAGAGGGCGGCGCGCCCGCTGCCGTGCGGGGCCGCGCTCCGTGAAGGACAGTGACGAGACGTGGGTTTATTCACAGGCAGAGAAGGAGGCTCCGGGAGAGCGTGGGCCCCACGTATCCAATCTGAGTAAGAAAAAACACACGTGGGGGAAAAAAGGCAGTCTTGCTTGATATTAGGATTGAGGAAAATTTTATTTTCTTCTTCCTGCTCACCTGAGCATCCTCGTGTTTTCACAATGAAAACGATTGATTATGTATGTAGATTTTGTTGTTTTAAGTTATACATGCTAAAAATGAGAAGAAATCTCAGAGGTACAAGAGGAAGAGAGTGCGGACCCCACCAGATCTGGTCAGGAAACTTGGTCTAGGGGCTGTGGGATCCCCACGCACCTGGGGACCCGTCACCCCGCACAGAAGGTGTCGGCTGCCATGAAGGTGTGCAGGGCAGGGGGAGGGGGACGTGCCCAGGGATCTGCCAGGGAGGGAGAGAGGGCCCGGGGCAGCGGCCCCTGTCCAGGGTCCAGGCTGCAGTCAGAGTCCTCACTGAGCACAAACCAGGTGACCCCACGGTAGCAAGCAGGTTCCAGAGCAGGTGTGACTTGAGAAGACCCGATGACACCTTCCCCACTCTCTCTGAGTGGAGCAGCAGAAGCTGGGGGAGAGGGCCCTCGGGAATCGAGCTTAGCCCCCGGGGGATCTGGGCGCCCCCAGCTCCTTCCCTGAAAGCAGAACTGGTGGAGTCGGGAGGGAACAGCAGGTCCCCCCGCCCCAGGAAAGCCTGGCCCAGGAGGGTGGCGCGGCCCACGGGGGTGCAAGATACAAAAGAACAGTCCCACCTGCTGTGGCCCTGAGGAACATTCCCAGGGGCCAGTACGCCAACGGTGTGTGCCTAAAGCATCCCTCAGCCCTTTGTCCTTTGCTTTTCCTGCCTGGCCACTGTAATTTCTGGGGTTGCAACCCTGCTTTAAAGAACAAAACAGCTGGAGAACATCTGGTTGCCTCCATCTTGGCCAGGGCAAAGCCCAGCCCTGCTGAGCAAGGTCCAGTGTGACCATGGCCAGCAGCACAGCTACACTGGGCCTCAGTTTCCCTCTCCAGCCCTAAGCCGTTCTGAGCACTTCCAGACTGGGGACCCAGGACCCTCTTCCAGAGTTTGATGTCCTTGGCTCATACCCGCTGTGTGCATGGGGAATGTCCCAGGGCCCCTTCTCTCCCCAGTGGCCTGTCCGTCCTCCCTCGGGCCTGGCCTCAGCAGCCCGCCACTCTGGGCTTCTCTCTCTCTTTTTTTTTTTGACTGGTAAGGGCAGCCGTCCCTATATAGGATCCGAACCCGCGGCCTCGGTGCTCCCAGCACTGCGCTCTCCCGAGTGAGCCACGGGCCGGCCCTGGGCTTCTCTCTTTAATTTATGTTGCTAGAATCCTTTCCGCATGTTCCCCAAGCATTGCTGTACCCCAGGGCTCCCCAGACTTCAGTCACCCCCACCTGCCTGTGTGCACAAATTCTGCCATCTCTGCAAACTGTCTATTGACTTAATTGATATTTCATAATAGTGAAATGTTTATGATTTATCATAAAATGCAAACATTAATGTTTTGGTTTTATAATAATTATTATTTATATTATTTTACTGTTAGGCTTAATTTTGATTAATATTTTATAATACTAAAAACATAATTAAGTTAAAATACATTCATCTTTTACAGAGAGCTTTGTATTACTAACATAAATAGAAAGCTGCCACTCCCCTAAGAAGATGTAGCTGTAGAAATAAATGCAGCACAAATAAAGCAATGGTCTTAGATTCTAGCCGGAGACTAACGCCTGATAGAGGCCTGGGCCAGGCAGCTCTCCGTCAGGATGAGGAACAGATGCTCAAGACACCTGGGCCCAGAAGGATTCTTCCTCCTCAACCTATGCAGAAGGACCGAGGGGGGAAAACTCGGTCACTGTCCCCGTGTGGGATTCTGCAGGTGGGAGCTGCCAGCCCGCACATCTGCGGCAGGGTCGGGGTTTCTGCTCCCATTTCACCGATAGGAAAACTGAAGTTTGGAGGAAGCCGCAGAGCCATGCACAGGGTCACACCCCAGCCGCCGCCCGGTCCCCACAGACCCGCTCCTGAAGCCCCTCGGGGCACTGGCGGACTAGCGGGACCCCTTCCGCAAGCTGGGGTTGCCCTGCGGTTCTGGGCTGAGGCCGCAGGGCCCCGAGGGCCTCCTGCCTCTGGAGATAGGCCTCTGGGGCTGTGCCCAGGGATAAGCCAGTCCCTGTCATCATTTCCTTCCTCCCACTCAACCCGCGGCCACCGTCGGCCACCTCCCATCTGGTTGTCACTGCAGCCTCAACCAGGATGTGCTAGCCACAGAAAGGGGGACCCGGCAGAAGTCTTGCAGGTAAGTGTCCCTCCCTATCACCAGCTCAGCCTCCGCACAGCGGCCCTGCCAGGTGGGGTGCGGAACAGGCCTGGCAGGGAGAAAGGCCACCTCCACCCCGTCTAGAAGACAGGGCTGGTGGGGCATGGGCTCGGAGACACGTCGTCTTGGCTGAGCCAAGATCCATTCGTTTGTTCAACAAATATCCACTGGTGGGGACAGATCTGCTTGGGATGGGGACACAGCCCACCTGAGTCCTGGAGCAGAGGCAGTGAGCCAGGCAGAAGATGGGGGCTCGCGAGACCTGAGTGTGAGTCGGGTCTCTGACACAGACCACTGGGTGACTCTGGGCAAGTCGCTTTCCCTCTCTGGGTCTCAGTTTCCCCATCTGTGAGTGCTAGCCTAGACGAGTGGCTTTCCAGACAGAGCCCTTGGGTTCGCTTTCCTGCTCCCACCCAGCTTCCCTCTGCTGCTTTCTGCATCGGGCAGCACATGAGAGTTCACTTGGCCATGACCAAGCATTGGGAATCGATCAGACAAGGTGGTCTGTGAAGCCCACACATCAGTCTGACCCCAGGCTTAGGCACAGGGGCTGGCACAGCCCAGGTGACCTTCTCCAAGGCCCTTTCCTGTTTCTGGGGACCAGGGCTGGGAGTCATTTTACAGCCATCTCCCCTCCCCCCACCCCTGAGCAGGGGCTGGGGTCTCTGCCAGGGGCCAGGAGGTCCATTCCCCTGCCCAGAACATGCCTGACCTCCCCCAGCACAGCCACCCTCTCCATTCTGCCTTCTGACGTGTCTGGTGAGAACACTCACCTCACAGAGGAGAAAACCGAGGCCTGAGAAGGCAGGTAAGTGCCCTTCGTCCCAGACCGGGTCCCACTGCACCCACGGTGCCCACTGGTCCTGAGGATGGGGTGGAGACCACCAGGACCTCCCCACAGCCACTCTCCCCACAGCCAGCCTGACTGATGCCTGCGTGGGGGGCCCTGTTCCTGCTCTGGGCTGCAGCAGAGGCCACCAAGGACTGCCCCACACCGTGCACCTGCCAGGCCCTGGAGACCATGGGGCTGTGGGTGGACTGCAGTGGCCAGGGGCTCACAGCCCTGCCTGCCCTGCCAGCCCGCACCCGCCACCTGCTGCTGGCCAACAACAGCCTGCGCTCCGTGCCACCGGGTGCCTTCGACCACCTGCACCAGCTGGAGAACCTGGACGTGATGCAGAACCCCTGGCACTGTGACTGCGGCCTGACCTACCTGCGCCTCTGGCTGGAGGACCACACTCCCCAGGCCCTGCTGCAGATCTACTGTGCCAGTCCAAGCCTGGCCACCCTCCGCCCCCTGGGCCAGCTGACGGGTTACCAGCTGGGCGGTTGCGGCTGGCAGCTCCAGGAGCCCTGGGCATCCTCAGAGGTCTGGTGGGATGTAGTGCTGGTGGCCGTGGCCGTGCTGGGCCTGGCTCTCCTGGCTGGCCTGCTATGTACCACCACAGAGCCCCTGGACTGAGCCCAGGCCCCTCCAGACCCCTCCAACCCTGGTTGGCCCAGACCACCAGAAGTCCAGAATAAACCTGCAGCTCAGCTGTTTTATTGCAGCTCAGAGATTTTTTTTTTCTCAGCACCCAAGTTTTGCTCCTGCTGGAAACCTGGCTTCATTTGGTTATAACCAGATACCAGTCAGGCCTTCTCTGTGCCTCAGGTTCCTAGAAAAACAGGCTATCCCCCGTCCCCTGCCAGTCACCCCCAATTCCACAATCTCTGGACATTCGAGCCGGAACCTGTGACTCTGTCCGCATGGCCCCTGCGGGGGACCCAGGTGACCCAGGCAACCTCACATCCATAGTCAGCCCTCCCAGTCCCACAGAAAGCCTCCCTCACACACAGCAGTGAGCAGGGCAGGACATGCTGAAGACCCCCGGGGAAGGAGAGGGCTCCATCTCTGCGACAGAAGCACCTTGAAAGACATCACTTTTCACACCTGGCCTTGACCGCTCCGGCCCGGCCATGGGCACCCGGGTCCACCTGGCCCTTCTGTTTTCACTTCTCCCCTCTGTCTTCTCCCTCCTTTTCCTCCTCTCTACCCTTTCTTCAAACAAAACAACACACTCCTTCTTTCTCATGGAAAACAACTCTCCTCCAAGTGCTGACATCAGCTGCCTCCAGGCTCTGGGGTCCTCTCCCCATCCCAAGCAACCAAATTCTTCAAACAATACCATACTCTCCCTCTGAGGAATTCTGGTGCCAGCTGTTAAAATAATAAACTTTTCTCCACCATATGAAATAACATTTACAGGTCTGTTACTGGCCGAGCCAAATCCAAATGTAAGTACACCAAGATCCCTTCCCTCAAGGAGTTCCACGTGGTCGACCAGCAGACCCGTCAGCTAAGGACAGTGCCAGCTGGGGCAGCCTGAGGGTCAGAGGATGCCACCAGGAAGACCAAGCAGGCACAGAGTGCAACTGGAGGGCACTGATCCACAGAGGTCAGGTCGGGACAAGAGCCCCAAACTCAAGGCAGGAGACAGCAGGGAATGGTGGAGACTGTGGCAAACCAGAGAGCCCGTTTTCCATCAACAGGGGCTCAGCCAATTGCTGCCATGTGCAGACATAGACCCAGGCACCCAGGGCTGCCCACTCTCCCAGAGGTTGGAAATCTAGATTTATATATGAAATTTCTGAAGTCTTTAAGTGTTGGCAAGTAAATCAAAGCTTTAAAAAAATGTATAGCAGGACAAATAAAACACACTGATGACCTGTATGAAGTCCACGGGTGAGAGCTTGTGGTTTCTACAGTAGAACAATTATAAAAGCTGCATCTGCTTCCTGGGCACCCAATGTGTGTGTGAAACACCATGGGAGGTGGATGCGGGCCCAGGGTCCCCAGCAGTCAGCTTACCCACATGCTCCTCTTTCACCCTGGAAAAGTGCTCCTTCAGGGCCGGCCCGGTGGCTCACTGGAGAGTGCGCTGCTTGGGAGCGTGGCGGCGCTCCTGCCGAGGGTTCAGATCCCATGTGGAGACCGGTTCCCGCTCACTGGCTGAGCACGGTGCGGGCGCAACGCCGAGGGTTGCGATCCCGTTACCGGTCAGTAAAAAGAAAAAAAAAAAAAAGAAAAGTGCTCCTTCAGGGCCGGCCCGGTGGCTCACTGGAGAGTGCGCTGCTTGGGAGCGGGGCGGCGCTCCTGCCGAGGGTTCAGATCCCATGTGGAGACCGGTTCCCGCTCACTGGCTGAGCACGGTGCGGGCGCAACGCCGAGGGTTGCGATCCCGTTACCGGTCAGTAAAAAGAAAAAAAAAAAAAAGAAAAGTGCTCCTTCAGGGCCGGCCCGGTGGCTCACTGGAGAGTGCGCTGCTTGGGAGCGGGGCGGCGCTCCTGCCGAGGGTTCAGATCCCATGTGGAGACCGGTTCCCGCTCACTGGCTGAGCACGGTGCGGGCGCAACACCGAGGGTTGCGATCCCGTTACCGGTCAGTAAAAAGGAAAAAAAAAAAAAAAGAAAAGTGCTCCTTCAAAAGCTTCTAGACCCTTGGGAGCCCCGGTAACTAAGACCCTTCAGTTCCCGGCCCCCAGGGATGCAACACTGATCCCCCTGCCCCTAAGTTCCACCCCTGTTCCTTCCTGAGGCTGCCATGTGCGTGTCTGTGGTCACAGGCCTCCTTTCTGCTGGCTGAGCTGGCTCAGTCCCATAAGAACCTGTGGCTGTCCATCCTCACTGCCCAAGTGCTGAGTCCCCTGAGGGTGGGGACAGGGGGAGGACCTTTGATGGCCAGACAGGGACTGCCGACGTGGGTAGCTGGTTCACCCCGAACCCTAGGAAACAGGTCCCCTGGGAGGTTCCCCATCTGTCTTTGTGCATTTGTGCCACTACACCTAAATACCACAAATGGGGTAATTTATAAACAAAAGCAATTTATTTCTCACAGTCCTGGAGGCCGGGAAGTCCAAGACCGAGGCGCAGCATTGGGTGTGGCAAGGGTCCTCCTGCTGCTTCCTCACGCAGTGGAAGATGCAGATGGGAAGGGATGGGAAGACTCCCTCAAGCCCTTTCGTAAAGGCCCAAATCCCACCCACAGAGCTCTGCACTCATGACTTAATCACCCCTAAAGTCCTCACCTCGGAATACTATCACATTGGGGATCGAGTTTCAACTTATCTATTTGGGGGGCACATTCAGACCACAACAGAGTCTGCATCATCCCCAGGGTCTCCATCCCAGGCCAGCAAGGCCACCACAGAGCCATCACACAGCCCCACCTGCTGCCCACACCACAACCAACCATCCCCACTGGCCGCCGCTGTCCATTTAGGACCACAGTCAGCTGCACAGGCAGCTCCTCAGCAGTGACAATCAGCACGTGCTCCCCACCCCCACAGCCATTAACACCCCCTCCAGCGCCCCCATTGCACAGCTCCACCACATGGAGGCTTCACACCAGCCTCGTGCTGACCTCCACCCGTTCGGCTGTCACTGTCACAGACTGGGACATCAGCCCCGTCAGTCCACACTCACTGCCATCCCAGCACTGTCACACAGTTGGTAACACTGTGAGTGTCAAATGCTGGCTCTGTTACCGCATCACTCTATCCCAATTGTCACCACATCGCCTTCACAATCATCTCCTTCAAACTCTCCAGCATTCCTCCTGCCTCTCTGGCCGTTCCACCTCAGTCTCCTTCATGGGTTCCATCCTCCCCTCATTTGTTCCTGAGTGATCAGGGGCCCCTTCTTTTCTCCCTGCAGAACCTTGCCCGCTCCCATGGCTCTATCCCTGTCACGAGGGCATATGTTCCCCATCTTACCACAGGCCCCATCTCATGCACTTCTCTTGTGTTTCCTGCTGCACATCTGGAGAAACGTGCAAGGTGGCCCGTCCTGCGCTGTATGATCCGTCCTCACACACCAGTGACAATTAGCCACGGACACCCAGTGCCCTGGAATACCAACCAGGGGTTTTCATTTAAACCCTGGAACACTTTCCTCCATGAAATCTTATATAGAAGTCCAGTCAATACATAAAACAAATGTATGTGGAACTGCTAAGTTTAAAGCAGTTCTGGGGGCTACTGGAATCCCACCACCCCAGTCCCTTCTATCCCCCTACAGTCAGCTCTGAGACATCCTGAGAAATCACACGGCTCCACAGACCTCATCTCTTGTCCAACACACTCCATCTTACCTTTGGGAAAACTGAGTCCCAAGAAAGGAAGTTAATTCACTTCCCAAGGCCACACAAAAAGTTGAGAAGAGTCCTGGCAAGACAGCTGACTAGAGGTGGCCAACCCTCGCCTCCAATGCAAAAAAGTCCAAAGCAGCACATAGTCACCCAAACAGGAGACTGTCTAGGAGGAAACAACAGAATCCAGCTAAACCCCCCCCAAGACCTGGAAAACTTGAGACAGCAACGTAGAAGGACAAGAGAAACTCCCGACCAGGACTGAGGATGGGGGGATGGCTGGCGTCCCACCATAAACTCCTGCAAACCAGGCTGCATGTAACCTCACGGCCTTCACAGACAGTGAGCCCAGCGTGTGGAGCAGCTAAGAGCCCACATGGCTGTATTTTCCCAGAGGGGAACTACACATGGACTCACCCCCTCTCACCTCAGTCCAGGGCTGCCACTGGATGTAACCATTTGGGGATAGGAGCTGGGGGAGTCCAGAATCCCATCAACCCAGCAGCCCCACATACCCTGGTGGAGAGCACCAGGGGTAGCTCACCAGCTGCCTGGATATACACCCTCTTTCACCCCAGGAGCTCAGAGCCCTGTGTGTCATAGAGGAGCTGCCCATGCCATCGGAGAGTGGGGGGAGCTCACCGGTCATCTAGATCCATACCCTCCTTCCCCTGGAAGTTCAGAGCCCTGCCTGACTCAATGCCTACACCCACGCCAATGGACAGCTAGCAGAAGCTGCACCAGTCCCTTGCACTGGTTGCCTGGACGCATGCCCTCCTACTCCAGGAGCTCAGAGGCCTGCCTGACACTGCGAGCCCACCAGCATCAGTGAAGAGTGTGCCAGGGGTGTGCAAGCTGCCTGGATCTCTACCACCCTCCACAGGAGCCCAGTGTTCTGTCTGCCATAGTGGCCTATCTGCACCAGGGCAGAAGGTGCAGAGAGCAAGCTGACATTTACGACTGCACTCCCCCAGAACCAAACCTACAAAGCCCAATCTGACTATCAATATAAAACTTCTACAGGTAAGAGTCTCTCACCTCAAAAAACACTCCAAAAATTAAAAGAAGCAACCACACCACCAGGTGCCCAGACATCAACACAGAGATAGAAGTATGAAAAATCAAGGAAACATGACACCCCCAAAAGAAGACTACAATTCTCCAATACCAGACCCCAAGCAACAGGAATCCCAAAGAGAAAGAAACAATAAAAAAGAACCAAGCAGAAATCCTGGAACCAAAGAATGCATTTGACAAAATAAAAAATGCAATCAATAGCACAAGCAGGAGGCTAGAACAAGTGGGAGAATTTCTGAACTGGAAGACAGGCTTTT